AGATCGAGAGGCGCAAGGGGGAATTGACGTCCGAGCGATGGCGAGGAGGTGCCCTCTCCCGCCTCGGATCGGGTGTTGCAAGAGGTGCCCCTGGGCCGAGGTGCCCCCAGGGGCGCCAGGTATGACCTCGCGCCTTACGCGCTCAGATCAGCGCCTCTGCGTTGAAGCGGCGTGCAGGGATTCGTTCCTGACAGACATGATGCCAGAACCTTTGCGCCACATGCTCGCCTTGTGCTTTCCATGTGTGCTTCTTGAAAGGGGCCGCCTCTTCACATCGTCCGCCGTCGTCCAAGCATCGCGAAGCATCGCGAATGACAGTGGTGTGTTTGGCCGGGGGAGTAGGGCGACTATGCAGGCATGCCCATGGAGACCAACAGGTGCCCCTGCGGTAGGCCCAGACACCCGCCGACGTTCACCTGCCCCTCCGATCCAGCGTTCAATGAACGCTGGATCGGAGGGGTGGGTGAACCCCTCGGCGGTCCGCCTCCGCTGTCTCAGACACCTCCGCTCAAGCAGCCCAGAGAGGGAGAGCAGAGATCGGCAGGAGCATCCACAGTCAACGCGCCCACAAAAGACGCGCGCCTTCATTCATCTAGGGTGCCCTTTCGGGGGAACGTAAGACTCGAGTAAGCCAGAACTCGGGTTCGCCGACGTTTTTTTGGCGAGCGCGTCCTGGATTTTGACGGTCCAGTGTTCGAGGGATGTTTGCAGCGGGAGTTCGCGTCAAATTTCAGATTGGGTCTCGTCATTGTTATGATGGCCCCGTCGGATCAACCCGAGTCCCTCGTACACGAGTCTTACATCTCCCCGACCCTTGTGTCCTTGCCTCTGCGGCCCGTCCTTTGCCGTTTTCACTAGTCGCCCGCCGCCCAGAACATCCCACCTTCGGCCCCCAAGGGTGCTGCGTCCTTACTAAGCCACCCGTCCATAATACACCTTTTGACTATAGGCCGAAAGTGGCTGGAGTGCTGTGACCACTTGCGAGCCCTGCCGCAGCGGGCCCAACCGACGCGCTGCGGTATCGGATGCCCCCAGGATGCACAAGGCTGCAGACATCCGTCACGTTCTGCGCCCCAGCCCGTTTTTCAGAAGTCTGACTTGCGCAGGGGCAGCGCTCAAAGGTGGCCTGTACTGAAAGGGTGCCTGGAGTCTGGTGGAGGGGCTCTATAGTCCTGAAGGAGAGCGTCCCTGTAGTCGGGGGACGAGGGAGGGGGGTGGGGCGGCCCTGTAGTCGGGAGGGGGGGGGGCTTGTAGTTCAAGGGGGCAGTCTGTGGGCCAAGAACTATTGAAGTTGTCAGAGCAGGGCTGCTTCCAGCCCAGACACCCGAAGTCATGTTTTGTTCAAAGCGTCGACCCTGAAAGGTCTCGACCCATCTCCCAGGACCGGCTTGTCATCCTGTTTCGATTTTTGCTGGTCTTGGAGCCTGGTAAGGGCCCCCAGAGGCCGAAAATATAAAGAAACATTCCGTCGTGATTTCCTCATGACTCAAGAAGGTCTGGGACAGGGTCCCCAAGAATCAAAAACCGCGCGCTGCAGCCGTTTTTCCCCCAGTCAGCTGGGGCGCTGCCCCCCCCTCCCCCTGCGCCTGCGCTCCTCCAACCATCGATGCGGCAGGGACAGCCCGGCGTGCCCGGCAGGCTCCGGCCAGTCCGCGTCAAGCTGCCGAACAGGTCTGGTACGATCGAAAGGGGACGACGACGACGACAACGATGACGATGGCGACGACGACGAATACCATGACGAACACGACGACGAACACGACGACAAGCACGACAACGACGACGACGACGCCGACGACGCCGACGACGCCGACGACGCCCACGGCGGTGGCGGCGGCGGCGGCGGCTGCAGCGGCAGTGCGGGAATACTGGGGACGAAACCCGACAGACCTACCCGCGTTCAACAGGTCTCGCTGTCAGTGTCGCCGCGGTCGTCGTCGATTTGAGGCGAAGAGGCGCCTGCCGAACAGCGGCCGCTGTCGTCTTTGGGGCACGTTTGTTGTGGGGTATCGTGCGCATTTCTCGAGGTCCAGGCGCTACATTTTTTTTCACAACTGGTGCTTTCGCCCAGTGTAGGGCCCTGGGAACCCTTCGAACCTCACAGATCGATCCGGCTCGAGCACTGACGCAGAAGGAGGGTGTCAGGGGGTCCAGTGGCGATCGTTTCGCGATTTTGCTTTTCTGTTCCCTGTAGCTGAGTTGTCTTAGTAGTTGTATGATATGCCACTTGCCGATCAACATCATATACTGTATCGTTAAGCTAGAATTAAATATACTTGTGGTTCGTGTGTGAATGCTTTTGTTTGCAGGTCGTGAACGGTAACGAAATGACTTAGACATACTCATGATACACATATCATTTAATATATGTGTATATATGTCAGGGCATGCACATCTACATATATAGATATATACACATATAGGTGTAGATACATGTATACATAAAACTGGGGATGGGGTCTGGGGGCTGGGGGCCGGAGCCCCGACCGCAAATGTGGGGCCCGGCGCGCCGGGAGCCCTGCCGGAGCGCCACGGGCCGTCCAAAATCGCCCGAAGATGGCTTCGGAACTCTCGAAAACGCGCTCCGATGGCTCAGGATGCCTTCCAAGACGACTCCCATGACGCCAAGAAGGCCCCCGAAGGCTCCGAAGACGCCCCAAGAGGCACCCCGATATAGCCCCAATAAGCAAAAATCGTCGATTCTCGATAGGAAAACTGATGTTTTTGGCGTGTTCGCCTTTTGGGCTTCCACTGCGTCCAAGACGGCCCAAGAGGCACCCAAGCTGGTCGAGGATGCCCCCAAGAAGGCCCCAAGACGGCCCACGAGTGGGCCAAGACGGCCCCCGAGGCGCCCAAACCAGCCAAGATCGCCCCGAGGCGGCGCCCAAGACGAGGACGAGGACGAAGAACGGGCAATTCACGCCTTTTGGTCTCCAGGAGACCCCCAGGAGTCCCCAAGAGGCTCCAAGAAACACCCAAGAAGGCCCCCATGAGACCTGGAAAAACACCAAAAGATGCCCCGAAGACGCCCCAAGAGGCACCCCGAGAGAGCCCCAAATAAGCACAAATCGTTGATTTCCGATAGGGGAACTTATGTTTTTGGCGTGTTCGCCGTTTGGGCTTCCACTGCGTCCAAGACGGCCTAAGAGGTACCCAAGCCGGTCGAGGATGCCCCCAAGAGGGCCCCAAGACAGCCCAGGAGGGGGCCAAGACGGCCCCCGAGGCGCCCAAACCGCCCACGAACGTCCCAAATCGGCGCCCAAGACGAGGACGAGGAACCGAAGATTCGAACGTTTTGGCCCAAGAGGCCCCCAGGAGACCCCAAGAGGCTCTCAGAAGCGCCCAGGAAGCCCCAAGAGGCCCCCAAGAGACCCGAAGAACACCAAAACAGGCCCCTAAACAGCCCCCCAATGGGCCCCCCAAAACGGCCCAAGAGAGCCCCAGGGCGCGCCCGAGAGGGTCGACCAGAGAGCTGGTCCGACTTCCATCCACACTCTACACAGGGTCCGTGCCTGGCGGTGCCTCAAGCAGGTGTTGCCACTGGAGTCCTCACTTGCTTGAGACAAACTCCAAGCATTTTTTCGCACAGCGATTCCTCCTGTGTCTGTGACACGCTAGAACCTAAGCGCGCGCGAAGCGCGCGTGTTTTCCTAGTATCTATGTGTATAGACTCGCGTGGACACGTGGAGTAAATCCACGGAGTTCAGCTGATCGAGGTCTGTGTCCGAGCGCGCTGGACCTTGCGACCCTGTCAACTACCTCCGCGGACCCCTGAAAGCACGCGGAGCGGCGCTCCCCCATCAAAGGCTCCCCCATCGAAAGCCTCTTGGGGCTCTCGCTTGAACTGTCTGGTTCTCGATGAAACCAAGGAAGCTGATATGCTACAAAATTGCGCTTTCCGATCGGAATTTGAAGACTATTGTACCTTTGGGGTCCTCTAGGGGCCCCTTTGGGCCCTCTACGACCGTCTTGGAGCCACCTTAGGGTGTCTTGGGTGTCTTTGGGAGCGTCTTGGAGGCCTCTGGCCCTCTCTTGGGCTATCGTCCCCGTGAAGCAGCTCACGGGCGTGCTCCTGCGCTTGGATTTTTTGTTCTGATCCAGTTCTTTGCTGTGGAAAACCTCCGCCAACAAGGAGTAGTCCGCGAGAGCCGAGTGGCGCGACGACGGCGCCCAAAATAAGCGTAACGCACTTCAGTTCTTGTACTTCACTTCGTGACGACGACTACCACGACGACGGTGAGGGGGGGGAGGAGTAAGGAGGGGGAGGGAGGAGGATCAGGAGGGAGTGCAATGCGGACGAGGCCACGTATGTTTACATTCCCCAACTAGGCTTGCCCAAAAGGTTTCTGCTTGGTTAAAGGTTGGTGCCTCGGGGTCTTATTTTGCACGTTCCCCAGGGATTCTTCGGGTTGCCAAGGTTCCCCAGTTTCTCCTGGTTCCCGTGGTTCCCCGGGTGTTCCTCGGGCCAGCCGGGTTCCCCCCGGTTCCTCGGGTTCCCCGGGTTTTTCAGGTTCCCCGTGTTCCACGGGTTCCCCGCCTCTGGTGCTTCGTATTCTTCTTATGCCCGTTTTAATCAATGCCAAGCAATGCGAAGCAACGCCAAGCAATGCCAAACAATGCCAACCAATGCCAAGCACTGCGCCCATGCAGTAGGAAGCTGTCTCCTAAGTGGGGTCGCGCAAGGCTCATTATTTGTAAGTCATGGTCTGTAAGTAGATACGAAGTTCAGGACAATCGAAGACTGTAGAGGCTATCCAATGTGTCGAGAATAGGATCGATCAAGCTTTTTGCGTGAAGGCACCTAGAGACGTTCAATATCATTAAATATTGGCCAATGCAAATATGCTACAGCGAATCATTCATCCAGACCTATCCACAACTATCTTATGTACACCGACTTATTAGCAAAAGGCGTACTCAATATAGGATAGCTGAGCTACTGGGTTGGCAACGTCAGATCTGATCGTCTGTTCCGCGTCCATTCTGGTTGGCCGCTTCTGCAGGTCGGCCCCCGTGGTGCCCTGCCAGTGGGCCGCCCTTTCGAAGCCTTGCCAGACTGTACCGGAGCTGGACCAGCGGCTGAGGATCACATGGGGATCACGGGCAACGTGGGTTCATCGGAGAACACGTAGACTTCAATCGCCTGAATTGGGGGCGCTTGCAGGGGCCTGATAGGCTACCCCGCCCAAGACCATGCGGATTCGCCATGGGAGGCCTGTCGCCGATCTTTTGGATGGGTTGCCGATTCCAGCTCGATGTTTCCCCCCGAGCTGGTAACCCCACTTAGCGGTCCCCCTCAGAGGAAAGATGCCAGTGCCGCCACCCGTCTCCTTGAAGGCAATCGTCGCCACGGCTGGATTCGCCGCGGAAGACTTTGTTCAGGACGCATCCCGTGAGAGGTCCAGGGATTGGGCGCCGATTCAGGGCTACCGCCCCCGCGCGCGTATCGTTTACCCGGCCAGCATGCTTCTGGGGCTGGTGTGCAAAAGCTGTGCCCCCAGAGAGTATGTATGCTTTTTGTGCACAGCCCTTGCTCCATGACCTTGTGCTGGACCAGCTCGTTTGTGGTGGTGGTGTGCAGCAATCATGGCCCCTTAAGTGAGCAGCGATATCAGCACCTCCCGCTCCCGCGACGAAACGGCCGGACTCGCCGCGGAATACCTTGGTGATCGAGGACACGACCTCGGGAGATGACCAGGGAGTGGCGGCGGCATCGATACCTCCCCAGACATCTGGCGCTCCAATTTTTTCGATGCGTGCACCCTGGGAGGTCTGGACCACTTGCCTATAGGGTTGGCTTTTCACCCTGAGCCGTTCTTTGACGGTCAGGGGGACCCTTTGCAGCCTTGCGAAAAATCTCGCCCCGGAGCCCTGGGCCCCATCTGTCTGCGTCATTTTTCGAGCCGGATCGATCTGCGAGGGTCCTGGGACCCGAAATTAGGCGAAGACGCCAAGTGTGAAAAATTCAAAGCCCGCATCTTTGGGCTTCTCCGCTCCCCCACGGGCGTTGCGTAGTGGGAGAGGCGAATCGTGGAGGGGCGAGGCGAAGAAAGGTCCGTCTTCTGTGACCTGCAGGGGCTCGCTGGGGTCTAAAGGGGCACGAAAGGTCTCTCCGCCCCCATCCCTCGCTCTCCGACTTTGTGAACACATGCAACATCGCGAGATATCGCGACCGGGATCCCAGACCCCATCTTTCTGCATCATTTTTCGAGCCGGATCGATCTGCGAGGGCCCCAGGACCCGAACGTGGGCGAAGAAACGCCCGGTGTGCAAAAAACAATGAACAGATCTGAGGGTGAGCAACGCCCAAGCTCCCCAGATCGAGCCAGGAGCGCGGAGGAGTTCTGGAGCGTCACCGCCGTGGTCGGCTTCGAGGTCCCGAAGGCCCCGCGGGAGGCCGGGGCCGGCGAGCGGGAGCAGGGCCGAGGCCACCGGGCGTTGCGCAACGGGAGTGATGAAGCAACAGCCGACTTTAGCCTTGATCACCAGAAAGTGTCGGGAGACTCTCCATTGGGGGGGGATCCTATGGGATCCCCCCCCTGGGATCCTATCCCCCCATGGGATCCCCCCCCATGAAGAGTCTCCCGAAAGTGTTTCGAGCACAAGGAACGTCCTTAAATTGTAGGTTTTCCCGTGTCGGGCCCTCGGAGGCGATACTCGTTCGACATGTCGGGCGTTGCGCAACGGAGGGCGACACATGGGGGAAAGGGTGCAAACAAGGGCGCCCTCGGGGGCGCGAAGTAATTCGCGCTTCGCGGTTCGGCTCCGAATCCTCCTCGTTTTCCTCTTCTCCACGTGGGGCGCGGCGCGAGAGCGCGAAGTTAATCGCGCTTCGCGCAACGCGAAGCGTGAAGTCGGCGGCGAGCGAGCCAGGAAAAGAGGAGGAGGAAGAGGAGGAGGAGGAGGAGGAGGAGGAGGAGGAGGACGGCGACGACCGCCGACCCACAACCAGCCACGAGCACAACAGCCCGCAACCCAGGAACGAACCCCAGAAACCCACCATCACCATCTGTGCTGAGAGTTGTGATTGAAAAGGGACCCGCTGCGCGGGGTAATGTCGTTGCCGCCATCAGTCGCCTGCTCGTTTGCTCTAATCGCCTGCTTGTTTGTTTGCTCGCCTGCTCGTTTGCTCTGCTCGCTTTCTCGTTCGTTCGGTGGTTCTGCTCGAGTTTAAATGTTGTTGCCGCCTGCTCGTTCGCTCTGACGCACTGTCGGTCTGAATGCTGTTTTTTGCCTGTTTGCGCTTCGCCTGCAGCAGCCCTCGCCCTCCACCTTCCGCACCTTCCGGAAGGAAGGTTTTCTGACGTTTCTGAAGGGTTTGTTGATGTCTTCGGATGTCTTTGGATGTCTTCGGATGTCTTTGGATGTCCTTCGGATGTCGTTGAATTGTTCTTGAATTATCAGAAAACTATATGCGAGCGTGCTCCCGACACTATGGTTGGAGAGGGCGTACATGTGCGTTAGGTATAGTGATGATGACAGAACGACATGTAACAATATGTTAAGGTCATTCGTGTATGTATTGTCGGTGAGCTACTGTGTATGTCTGTATGTATGAGCGTATGCATGAACATTTGTCTTGTGTATATCCATGTCTGCACTTATGCGTTACATTGAAGGCCTATTATTAGAGCAGTCGGTCCTCTCTGACGCGCGGGTCTGGAGTGCCACGGTTCTCCTTGATCGATCCATCGTCCTCCCCCTCCTCTTCCTCCTCCTCCTTCTCCTCCTCTTCCTGTTCGACCTCCTCATCCTCATATAGACCTTCTCTTCCTCTCCCCCTCCTCTTCCTCCTCCTCCTTCTCCTCCTCCTCCTCCTCCTCCTACTCCTAGCGTCCCCTGGTGCAAACTGTGAGCGCGAAGATGGCTGCGCGTTGTCGTGTCGTGTGGTGTTGTTTTCGTCGGCATTCAGAAGTCGACGTCGCCGTCGCGCCGCCGCCGTCGTCGCCGTCGAAGTCGTCGTCGCAGCCGTCGTCGTTTTTGTTGTCATCGTCGGCGGCGGCATCGTCGTTGACAGCGTCGTCGTGAGCGTATCCGTCGTCGTTTGTTGTAATCGTCAGCACCAGCACAACACCAGCGAGCAGCAGAGCAAAAAGCAAACAGCTAAACATCAAGCGGTCAACAGCACCAGCGCAACACTAGCAGCACTAGTGCTGCTAGTGTTGCGCTGGTGCTGTTGGCCAACATCACTCGAGCGGATCCGTGGCCCATATCGGCTCCAACCCAGCCCGATGCCCAGCCCGACGCCCAGCCCGACGCCCAGCCCGACGCCCAGTTAGTCGGCCAGCCCGACGGCCAGCCCGACTGTTGGAAGGTGCCTCCTCCTCCTCCTCCGCCTCCTCCTCCTTTCGTTATGTCTCTCCTTCTCCTCCGCTTCGAAGCTCCTCACCCTCCTCCTCTTCCTCCTCCTCCTCCTCCTCCTCGATCATACTCCTCCTCCTCCTAGCTCCTCCTCGCTCTCATCCTCCTCGCGCTCCTTCCTCCTCTGCCTTCTCCTGCTCATCATTTCTCCTCATCCGCCTCCTCCTCCTCCTCCTCCTCCTCCTCATCATCATCATCATCATCATCGTCATCATCATCATCATCATCATCATCATCATCATCCCCCTCCTCCCTTCTCCTCCTGGCCATCCTCCTCGGTCGTATCATCATTGTCCTCCTCATCGTTCTCCCGCTGCTCATCCTCCCCTCCATCCTCCTCAGTATCCTTATTCCCCTCCTCGCATCGTCACCCTCGCCGACATTGCGCCCCTCCTTCCTTTTCTAACGTGCGCCCTCATCAACCGACGCACCCTGTTACCCTTCGCGCTGCCTTCATTGCCGTACTCTCGCCCCCATCGCCTACTCATGCTCCGTTTCCTCCTTACCTTCATTCCCTCATCATTATTGCCCCCCACCCGACCCCTCATCTGCAGCACCGTTCTCCGTGTCGCCCTCGCCTTACTTCTCATGTCCCTCTGTGCATTCCTCCTCCTCCTCATCCTCCTCCTCCGCCTCCTCACCATTATCAGTATCATCTTCCCACGTGTTCTCCGCATCCTCCCACCCCCTTGTTCTCATCAGCTTTCTCAGGGAGCGCCGCCCAGCATGCGCCTCGAACGCTGGTTCCAACAGATGTTGGAACCAGCGTTCGAGGCGTGGTCCTGCGCCACCAGGTTCGACGTCGGCCAAGCCAACGCCCAGCCCGACGCCGAGCCCGTCGACCAGCCCGACGCCCAGCCCGTCGGCCGGCCCGACGCCGAGCCCGTCGGCAAACCCGACGCCGAGCCCGTCGGCCAGCCCGACGCCGAGCCCGTCGGCCAGCCCGACGCCGAGCCCGTCGGCCAGCCCGACGCCGAGCCCGTCGGCCAGCCCGACGCAGAGCCCGTCGGCCAGCCCGACGCCGAGCACGACGGCCAGCCCGACGCCGAGCACGACGGCCAGCCCGACGCCGAGCCCGTCGGCCAGGCTCCTCCCTCACGCTCTGCCTCCTCTCGCCTCCCCCATAGGTATCTCATCTCCCTTCTAGTCGACCCTTCTGCATATCCTCCCTCATCTTCGTTCCCTCCCCTCCGTTCTCTATACCGTCCTCCATCCGTCGCTCCTCCTCCTTCCTCTGCTCACCATCCTCCTCCCTTTGCTCCTCCTCATCCTCCCCTGCATCCTCCTCATCCTCCTCCAACCGATTCGATCCTTCTCCAGCCGATTCGATCCTTCTCTGGCCCAGGCGGTCGGCGACGCCGCGGCGACGGCGACAACAAGCAGGCCTCCCCGCCTGCCCGCCGCTGGCGCGAGGATGGGGAGGAGCGAGGGCGAGGGGGGATAGACGAGTGAGATCGAGAGGATGGGAGTGGATGTAGAGAACATATGCCGAGATAGAGAGAGAGAGAGAGAGAGAGAGGGGGAGAGAGAGAGCGACGAGCGCGTGGGGAGAAGGGGGAGGGGGGAGAAGAGGCCTAGGAAGGACACCATATGCGATGCTGAGGATTATGATGATAAGAGAGAGCATGGTAGGATGATGGGGACGAGGAGGAGGATGAGAAGGATGAGATGGAGAAGGCGAGAGAGGAGGAGCATCGGCGGAGCAAGACACGAGACGACACCATGGCAAGTAGAGGGAGATGGGAGGGATATGGTAAGGAGGAGGAGCAAGCGGCAATGCGCATCTGTCCTTCCTCATTCTCCCCCCCGCCAGCCTCGCAGCTCCGTTAGTATCATCTCTCCTCGCGCTCCTCTTCCTGTATCCTCCTTCTCCTCCATGCCTCCGACAGTATGTTGTTATGTATCGCTCCTCATATGTCCCCCCTCCTCCTTCTCATCATACTCCTCTCTCCGCCTGGCACCGCCCTCTTGGACATCTCGCGGGGTGCGTCAGGGCTCGGATGTTCACGGTACCATATCATAATTCATGGGGCCCTCTCGGGGCTCGCGGTGCCCCACCCCCCGCAAGGTGACGTGGCCTGGGTGGCCCCCTTTCGAAACGGCCCATGGGTCGTTTCGAAAGCCCTGCCCACCCAGGCCACGTCACCCCGTGGGCAACTGTTCGGTTCAAGTCGCGCCCGACTCAGCCGAGCTGCCAGGGCGGCAGCCATGGACAAGCTCGTCCACGACGTGGCCGAGGCCCTGCGGCACGCTCGCGTCGAGACGACGCCGCAGGGCCGCATCATCTGCGGGTGGAACGCTGGCGGCGCCAAGGGGATACGCCCGACGGGGGTAAACCGCCGCTGCGCCGATGCAACGCCCACCCCATCTCCGATCCCTCTGCGCCAGCCCGCCCCTCCGCTCGCTCGCGCCTGACCCGTCGAGAGCGGGCGTGGGGGCTGAGGGGGGCTGGGGAGTTGGGCGTGGAGATGGGTGGGGGGTTGCGTTGGTGCCAGCGTGCGCTTACCCGCGTCAGGGGGGCTGTGCGACTGGCTCTTGGAGAGCGGCTTCTGGCGGGTGATCAAGGCGGTGCGATGCATCAAAGAGGATCTGGCCATCGACGTCGGGATCTACGAGAGGGCCGTGGCCGAGGCGCACGCGGCGGGGAGGAAGAGGATGATGAGGAGGAGAAGGAGGAGGAGGAGAAGAAGGAAGATGATGAGGAGGAGGAAGGGGGGATGTGCTGACGGTGGGGCGGATACGGAGGATGAGGATGAGTGGTGAGAGGATGGAGAACCAGAAGGACAGCGAGGCTGGACGAGGGTAAATGGGGTGATATTGGAGAGGGTCGGATGAGGAGGCGCTGCCCAGGTGCTCCCAGGCGCGGCGGGCGAGCACGTATGCAGCGAGGCGAAGAAGATCTTGGAGTGCTTCGCGGGCTGGCGCCGCGTCATCAGGCTGTGGCGGATGAGATGAATGAGGAGTCAATGTGCGATGAGGGTGGATGAGGATGGGAGGGCCAGGAAGGAGGGGGGCGGGAGGAGCCGAACAATGAAAAGGACGAACGCGGATGATGGTGCAATACAG